CAGAGCGGGGAACAGAACAGGCAGACTGACGAAGTACATTGCTGAGGGGAGCAGAGGGTGAGACAGGAGAGGTCTGCTCGCCATGTGGGTTTGCCCGAGGCTGGCGGGGATCGAACCGGTACTGCAGAGGCTGCAAACAGCTTCACAGTGCTGTGCTCAATCGCCTGTGCCACCAGGGAGGCCCCCGGACTTCTCCCTTTTAATTAATTATTTTTCTTTTTTTTGTCCTTCCCACCTCAACTTCAAAATCACTTCAGAAACACTAAGGGAACTGCAGAATGAGAAACCAATGTAAATTATATCCATTAATAACTACATGAGAGGTAAATATAAAATTAGACATTCATAAAAAATTTGATGCAAGATTTTGGGAAAGACCTTATTGTATAATACTTATACAATAAGTATACAATAATATGCATTCTTTGAAGATTGGTGTTTATTACAGAGGATATTCAAATAACCAAGATGGCATCTTCCGATTGGTTTAATTATAAAAAAGGTCATTTTTTGGGCAATTAAGTTCATATGTGACATTATACACAATTATGGATTAGTACTTAAAAATGAACTCATTTTCTATACAACTAAACCTTAACTTGTTACCCCCTACCACCCACCCCTTTACAGTTAATTTAACTAGTAGGATAACTGCTGTTTTAAGATTTTCTTTTGAGTTTTATATTAAGAATCTCCTTGTCCCACATAATATATTGTATACAATAAAATATATTTATATAACAAAAAAAAAAAATAAGTGGTGCAACGCCAGGAATTGAGAGAGCTAAGATGACCCCTTCCTTTCTTTTGCCATTGGAATATTATTATTTATGAGGAGGTAAAAAGAAATTCCAATTTGTTTTCATCTTCCCTCTCAACGGCTTTTATTAATTTCGATTTCCTACAGTGTAATGATAAATTCTTAGTATTTGTGTTTTCCACATTTTTCCCTAGTTATATATGATTTCTAGCATGTTAAACTTGTGGCGAGAGACCCTACTGTTGGGATTTCAATTGTTTATATTTACTGTTTCTTTTAAAGTACAAAATTCCAAACAGAGAGGTATATTTGACACACTTGAACTTTTAAGTAATTTGGTTTTAACCCTGGTGAATTGAGTGTAGAACCTGTAAAGAATATCATTCTTAGCCATTAATGGAAAAACTAGATGAAGTACAAACATCCAACTTCACCTTAAACCACTACTGAAGTGAATAATCACGTGGACTCCTTTTGACTTCCTTTCTTGGACATCAAACCCCAAGTCTTCCAGTTTTTGAGACCTCCCACTTGCTAATTCTCCCTGAGCTCCCACAGTTCACTCCACAACCCAATGTTGGTACAATTTTCATGTTTTAATAATGCTTGCCTTTGATTTTGGAATTTACTAAGTGCAAAACTGCCAAAGCACAACAAAATATTCTGGGTGGTTAGGTTTCTTAAAGTGATGTGTCACATTATACCAGCTTGTAGCAGAAAAACATGCACAAACCATTCGTACATGACATGGACAAATGCTTTTGCCTATGGCGGGCCCACTTGCAATGGCACAAAAGTCAAAAAACACCACCAGCTTTTGAGAAAGAACCAGTTTAATGTGGGGTCACCTGGCAGGACACTTGGAGGGAAGGCTCTCACATAATTCCCCAGGGTATGTAGCATCGTGCTGCATTAATTGGGCTGAGAACAATCACAGGTCATGGGCAAAGAGGAGGGCAATGATGGGTCAGGAATTGAAATCTCACAACCTCACATTACTGGCCTTGCCCCTGGGTTAGTTTTCATCCCGCCAAATTCCTGTGATGGGGTTTGGGTTTGTTTGGCATATGTGCCTGAAAGTGAAAATATAAAATAACTCAGTAGTCACACATCTCAAGGAAAGTGATGTTGGGGACAGTCACCTTATTTCTCTTGAAATGTCACTCTGGTTCACTTAATAAGATGCAACAGGCAGGTGCTTTATGGCCTGAGCCACTGGAGAGTAAGGAATGAACTGCTTTCATTTGACACTCCCTTAATCAGAACAATGCATAGTTGCAGTTCATTTGTCTTTCTGGTTTTAAAAACAAATGATTATAGACTGGAAAGGTAAAAGTAAATAAATCTCATGAAGTAGAATATTAATATCAAAGTCCAGGCAGCTTTTTGATTTCCTCTATTTCTGTGTTTTTGTTTGCGCGTCTTACATAGCACAGGGGATCTTTTCAAATGTTGTGGAAATTTGTTGTATTAATAGATTCCCCTGGATTCATGCTTATGCTATTTATAGTAATCAGTATCTATTTGTTCTAATTTAGTCTTTTTCATAAAACAAATTCCAACATGACTGCTCAATTGTTCTTTTGTCCCTCATTCACCCATCAGGTTAAAAATCTGTGCTCCTTCCTTTCTTTGAGAGCAAGCTGTTATTCCTTATCTGTCCGCATCATCCCTGCACTCCTAGGCACATTACAGTGCATTTTAAAAGATCTTTTACTAAAGCTTCCGTCTACTTTCTGAATTTACAGTGGGAAACTGTCAAAACACACAACTTTCCCAATGGATTTGATTTATTACAGTACCTTTTACTAGAATAGGAACATAACCAGTGTGCTAGAGTAACTTGCGTAAAACTTTTGTATGGCACAATGACAAATATTGGCATTTTAAAGCAACATGGCATGATAGCAATGAAGCAAAATGATTTTTACTTCTAGGCATGTTCATAGCTCTTTTTCTGAATGTACACAGCTCTGGAAAGAACCCTCAATTTCTTGAAATTTTATTTCAGATGTTTAAGTCAAGCATGTGGAGATTTACTTGAAATTCACTCAGCGTTTTTGAGAAAACAAAACTTGATGAAAGTGTTCAAGTTTTGTGAATCATGAACCCAATGGTACTGAGACAAGAATTACCCCATCAAACAAAAATCATATTAGCTGAGGAATTTAAGCTGTCTTTATGCACTCTGAAACATCTTTGCTTTCTTGAATGGATTCTGCTTTTTTAACTTTTGTTCATCATTTACCTTGATGCCTGATATCCACAACTTAACCTCCTGAATTATAAATAGGATCTTTCAGAAATCTTTTTCATGCTATCTTTGCAATACATCATCTTTAAATAAATATGAACATACTTCCTCATAATATATATGCTATCGTTTCATAAACATAAAAAACAATACCTATTCTTTATTAATCTAATATTAAAAAATTTTGTAAGTCTGGGGGTTTACTGGGTAGCTCATTGATGACATCATTTTCTTAGTCCTTAACTGCTTTTGTGGGTGGAGGGTTGGATTTAAAATCTGTAGTTTCCACAAATCACACATTTTGTCCATATTTTCAAATGCATTATCATACAAACTTGAAAGATAACTTTAAAATTAAAATAATATCATCTGAATTTTTCACTTTTTCTCCCGAAGGAGGTTCCTTATATATGCAATTTAGTACATTTTTTCAGTGCACATTACCCATGTTTATTCAACAATTACACAGTTCTTAGTAGTTTTCTTAAAAAAAAAGATTTTTATTTATTTATACAAGAGTTGGGGTACAGACCAGAGGCACAGGAGGGTGAGAGAATTCACCAGAGACAGAGCGGGGAGCAGAACAGGCAGGCGGACCGAAAACACTGCTGAGGGGAGCAGCAGGGAGACAGGAGAGGTCTGCCCCACCATGTGGAATGTCGCTGGCCGGCCAGGAATCAAATCCGCACTGCAGAGGCTGCGGACAGCTTGACAGCACTGCGCTCAACACGCTGCGCCACACAGGAGATCTATAGTAGTTTCCTAGGATGTTAATGCCATCAAGAGAGCGTTTAAATTTACGAATGTTTTATGATATTTTAGTTTTTATAAAGATACCTGTTTGTGTTCAGTATTTGGAGATTGCTGTTGCCATTTTCCCAATCACTGAGGTCTGGGAGCAGAATCTGAGGTTAGCCAGGTTCCTATTTTCCAGGGACTCTGCCATAATTCCGCGAGTTCCTGTTCTAACCAGAGTGGCTAGCGCTGCGCAAACAGTACATTTTGGGTCACTGCATAAACGACCACAGCCGTCCGGCATGAAGGATCGGTTGCGGAGGTCAGACACTCAATGTACCGACTAAAGCTAAATTTTCTAAACTAAGATACTCTCTATTGCGGCTTAAAGCCGCTCTCTGCGGTGGCTACAGGAGGCTTCCAGGCAGTCTAATTATTCCATGCCTTCTAATTGGTCCTTGCCAGGTAGAACCATCCAATCACATTTAAAATCATGGTTATTGACAAGGTACCCGCAACATTTCATCCAATCAGATTACTGAGCACACTCACCTCATTTGAATATAGCAGCAGAGAAATACACTGAGCTCTGCTCCCAAGAACGATTTTCTTCAGTTGGGGCGCTTGAAGTCTATGTCGGTCACGTCTGACATTCTTCCCAATCTGCCTTTGCCACGAAAGGTATTAGGAAAGCTACTTCCACAAGTAGATGGGAATGTGGAAGAATGCCCCGAGATCGTTTATTCCACCTGTGCTCTGATTTCCAGAACACACTACTGACCACGTCGGAGTTCCTGCTCTAGTCGCGCTTTCTCTAGGAAAAGTAGAGCTTAAGATGTAGAGAAAGAACCCAGTAGTGGTGTCTGTTTCCTCATGGCTGTGTGGACTGTGGCCGCCGGAATCGCTCAAAGCCAAAACTAATTTCAATACTTAAAACGCATTTAGTGAGGACTTGCAAAGCTCTGGTGCTTTAATCACAACTCAGTTCACGTTTTCAGACGACCGTTAGTTCTACAAGGCAGCTTTCAACGATTTTCTGAGGGACGTTACAGAAAGGTGAGAGGTCACCAAATGCCACTCAGCCGTGCTATCAGCCAGCCAATCCCATCCGACTCGATGTCTCCTTGCCTCGTGCTTGCCCCCGCTCAGCAGTACATTTGATCCAATGAGAGGTGGCCATTGCCAAGACGTCAGCAAAGGCAGACCCTATAAATGGGCCACCGCCCCTCAGCAGGCACCATTGTCCTTCCTGTCAGCTACCAGGAAGTTGACTCCAAAATGGCCGATCCTGCCGTCGAGGCTTCGACTGAGGAGACCCTGGGCTCAGGGGAGCCGGCAAAAGCCAAGCCGCAGAGCCTGAAGCGGAAGCAGAAGCAGAAGCACAAGCAGCCCCCCAAGCAGAAGCAGCCAGCGCGCCAGCGGCGGGCCAAGAACCGAAGGGAGAGCTTCGCCCCCTACTTCCCTCAGGTTCTCAAGTGCGTCCACATGGGCCTGAGCCTTTCGCAGGAGGCAGTGAGCGTCCTGGATTCCTTCGTGAAGGACATGTTTGAGCGCATCGCCCAGGAGGCCGGCCACCTGGCCCGCACCACCCAGCGCGCCACCCTCACGTCCAGAGAGATCCAGACGGCCGTGCGCCTGCTGCTGCCCGGCGACCTCGGCAAGCACGCCGTGAGTGAGGGCACCAAGGCCGTCATCAGATACAGCCACTCGGAATGAGCCTCTCGTCAGGGCCACCAAAACCACAGGCTCTTTTCAGAGCCCCCAAACCAAAGGCTCTTTTCAGAGCCACCTCCCTTGGCACAAAAAGACCTGTAGCTCTCCCAACACGGCCCGCTGGCCCTCCAGCTGGCGGCGCCCTGCCCGTGCCACCCACCCTTGCTTCCCCCAATAACTAATACGATCCAAACTGGTAGAGTCGCGGTAACCATCATGTCAGCGGAGACAGACTTCTCATAACAATAGTGTATGAGAGATGCCCTCATGGGGCACTGACTTAGATTTTTTCTGGGTGGATCCTTAGTGGGAAGTGTAAAATAAACATATACCCATAAGAATTTAGCCTTCACTCACAATCTCCAAATAGTGTCCAGTGGAAGTCTCGGGCTTCTCTTGTTTATAGCATCACATAAAGGTATAAAACAATACAATTTACTGTGTTTATATGTATAATTATAGTTGTTATTTATCTCACATAAGAAATTTATTTAAATATAAAACCATGACCAAATCACACGCAGAAGTAGTTATGTCTACAATTTCCAGAATTGAATCATTTTTTCATTACCCTGTTTTTGAAATTTCTCTTCCATTCATTCCAGTTCATTTTGCTTCATTCTATTTCAGCTCAGAATATTCAGCTTTGAAAGCACACAGCCTTCTCGGCTTCCATCTCACAGGTGATAGGAATTTCCATTGTGAACAACTCAAACGCCACAGTCATGTGGCTAGGATTCCAGGAGTCACAGCCACTGGCCCAAAGTGTCAAATATATCCCTTTATTTGAAAGTTTGCACTTTAAAACAAACAGTAAATATTTGACACACTTGAACTTTTAAGTAATTTGCCCTTAACACTGGTGAATTGGATGTAGAACTTGTAAATAAAGTCATTCTTAGTCATTTATAGAAAATCTAGATGAAGTACAAACAGTGGGCGAGAATGGAGATGTCTGCCTCGCCATGTGGGTTGCACTCTCGCCATGTGGGTTGCTCCCTGGCCGGCTGGGGCTAGAACTCACGCTGCCGAGGCTGCGGATTACCTCATACTGCGGTGCTTTAACCCTCTACGCCACCAGGGAGGCCCCTGTAACTATTCTTTTAAAAGGACGATTATGGTAAAAGAATAGCGAATGACCCGTCATGATCTTGTTTTGGACCTCGTGGCAAACTCCTCATCTTTCAAATATTTTCGTTTTACCAATAATGAAACATTATTATCTGAGCCCAGTGACAGCGCACACATTCGATTTCTATTTAATTTCTATAGTTCAAATGTGTTTGGTGAGGGCTGTCAAAGCTCTCGTGCTTTAATCACAGCTCAGTAGATGGTTTCAGATGACCATTTGCTGTACGGGGCAGCTTTCACCGATTTCCTGAAGAGCTCATAGGAAGATTAGAGGTCACCAAATGCCAGTCCCCCATGATGCCCTGCAAGAAGACAAACCAATCCCATGTGACCAGACGCCTAGTCTGCCTAGAGACAGCCCACCCCGGTTGCATTTCACCCAATGAGAGGTGGCCATTGCCTAGACGGCAGGGGAGGCAGCCCCTATAAATAGGCCACCTCCCACGGCCGCCACCATTGTGCTTCCTGGCAGCAGTCGGGAAGTTGACTCCAAAATGGCCGACCCTCGCGTCGAGGCTTTGAACGAGAAGACCCTGTGCTCCGAGGAGCCAGCAAAAGCCAGCCCGCAGGGCCTGAAGCAGAAGCAGCCAGAGCGCCGGCGGCGCGCCAAGAACCAAAGCGAGAGCTTTGCCACCTACTTCCCCCGGGTTCTCAAGTGCGTCCACATGGACCTGAGCCTTTCGCAGCTGACCGTGAGCGTCCTGGATTCCTTCGTGAAGGACATGTTCGAGCGCATCGCCCAGGAGGCCGGCCACCTGGCCCGCTCCACCCGGCGCGCCACCCTCACGTCCAGGGAGATCCAGACGGCCGTGCGCCTGCTGCTGCCCGGCGACCTCGGCAAGCACGCCGTGAGTGAGGGCACCAAGGCCCTCATCAGGTACACCCACCGCCAGTGAGACGCCCGTCCGGGCCACCAAGACCAAAGGCTCTTTTCAGAGCCCCCAAACCAAAGGCTCTTTTCAGAGCCACCTCCCTTGGCACAAAAAGACCTGTAGCTCTCCTAACACGGCCCGCTGGCCCTCCAGCTGGCGGCGCCCTGCCCGTGCCGCCCACCCTTGCTTCCCCCAGTAACTATGCGATCGAGGCTGGTGCAGTCGCGGTAACCCTCATGTCAGGGGAGACGGACTTCCCATGGCCGTAGTGTATGAGAGATGCCCGCGAGGGGCCCTGGCTTAGGTTTTTTCAGGTTTGGTCTCTGTGAGGTGTAAAGTGAAGATAGACCCCTAGGGATTTAGAGTTCACGCACATTCTCCAAAGTGTCCAGTGTAATTTTCCAGGCGCTCTTTAGCTTGATATGCAGCACACAAAGGTATAAAACCACTTTAATTTGCTACACACACACACACACACACACACACACACACACATATTTTTTCCCTTCATGCTATGTCACTATTTCATTAACAGGAAAGAAAACTATTCCTTATTCACCTGACATTGTATATTTTCGGGATCCTGGCCATTTATTCGATAGCTCATTGATAACCTCAATCTCTTTCATTGTCGTAGCCTTTAAAACCTTTTGAGGGGAGGAGGTTTGGGTTTCAATTCTGTAACTTAGAGTTTCTTCAAATGACACATTCGGTCAGTTTTTCAATGGTGTCATAGATAGTTGAAAACTAACCTTTAAATAGAATAATCTTAACTATATTATTCATTTTGCCTCACTGTTGAGGTCACGTGTACCTACAACTCTGTTTTTTCTTTCAGTCAACGGTGCTCACAGTTATTCAACAATTACGTAGTTGACTTAAGTGTAATGAGGAGAGAATTTTAATTTTGGTTAATGTTCAAGGCTCTTTTACCACCTTATAAATAGGCCTGTTTCTCTTTTCAGTATCTGCAGGTGGGTTTTGCTGTTCTTCCAAGTTGGCGTTAAAGGTTTTGGACCAGAATTTGGCAGGGGTGGTCACTTAGCCGAGTTCCTAATTTTTCAGGCGCTCCGCCCTGAGTTCGACATTTCCTGCTCTAGTGAGAGTGACTTAGGGCGGCAGGAACAGGTGATTTGGGGTCCGTGGACAAATGGCCCGAGCGAGACCAGCGTGTAACACCTGGCACCATGGATCTGGGTGGCTGAGGTCAGACACTCACCGAACTGAAGCTGAAATTTCTACCACAGGGTGCTCTCCTTGGCGGCTTCTCAGTGCTCCTGTGGGGGCTGCGGGAAGCTCCTAGGTGGTGTAATTATTCCATGCCTTCTCATTGGCCCTTGCAGGCCCACCCAATCACATTGAACATCATGGCTTATTGACAGGGCTTCCTGCACATTTCAGCCAATCAGACTTGCAAGTATGTCAGCCTCATTTGAATACAGGACATATAAATAGCCTCTGCTCCCTTGCCGGCACGCCTCTCTTTGGCTGGGGTACCCAGAGCGCCGTGGGTCCTGGCTGAGCAGCTTTCTAAATTGTCTTCACAAGAAAGGCTTTAAGAAAGCCACTTCCTGGGGCCTCCCTGGAGGTGCAGGGGGTTGAGCTCAGCGCTGTGGGGCTGTCCGCGGCCTCTGCAGCGCGACTTCCATCCCAGGCCAGCCGGGGAGCAGCCCACACGGCACAGCAGACCTCTCCTGGCGCACCTGCTGCTCCCCTCAGCAGAGTATTTCAGTCAGGCTGCCCGTTCTGTTTCCCGCTCTGTCTCCAGTGGATCCTCTCGCCTCCCGCGCCTCTGGCCTGTACCCCAGATCTTGTGTGCATAGGTAAATAAATCTTAAAAAACAAAAGGAAAGAAAGCCACTTCCAAAACAGAGAGGGAAGATAGGAAAGAGACGTCCCAACACAGTTCATTCCAACTGTGCTTCCAAGGTCCTGAAACAGGTTCATCTTAATATCGGTATTTTATTCCAGTCATGTTCACGGCAAATTATTTTCCTAATGATATCCGTGAGCACACGGCAGACGGTGCCTTCCTCCTGGACCGCCCCAAGGCTCCACCACCTCATGGAGAGAGATCCGGAGGACAGTGCGCTTGCTGCTCCCAGGGAGACCGGCAAGCGCGCCGCGAGCCAGGCCACCAAGGTCGCCATCAGATACACCCGCTGCCAGTGAACGGCCTGTCCCGGGCCACCTGAGAGCCACAAGCCAAAGGCTCTAGGTAGGGTGCGTGTGTGTGTGTGTGTGTGTGTGTGTGTGTGTGTGTGTGTAGTCTCTTCTTTAAATTCGTGATTGCTGAAGGTTGCCATCCACAGCAGGCATTGGGATGTGTCTTTTGTCCCTTGCATGAAAGTAATTGGTGTGAGAGAGCTAAAATGACTCTTTCCATCACTTCCTTCATTTGAATGTTAACATTTTAGATTGTGTTGAAATAAATTCCAATGTAGGTCTCTGCGGTGGCACAGCGGGCCGAGCACAGTGCTGTGATGCTGTCCGCAGTCTCTGTAGCGCAGATTCGATTCCTGGCCTGCCAGGGAGTTACCACATGGTGGGGCAGACCTCTCCTGACTAGCCTGCTGCTCCTCTCAGCAGTGAATTTCAGTTAGTCTGCCTGTTCTGTATCCCCCTCTGTCTGGTGAATCCTCTCACCCTCCTGCACATCTGGCCTGTACCCTGGTTCTTGTATGCATGAATAAATAAATTTAAAAATGTAACAGGCAGGTGCTATATGTCCTGAGCTATTGAGAGTAGGGAATGAACAGCTTTCATTGGACACTCCCTTAATCAGAAAAATGTATAGTTGCAGGTCATTTAACTTTCTGTTTTTAAAAATGAATGATTATAGACTGTAAAAGGATTCAATCAAATAAATCTCATGAAGTATAATATTAGTGTCAAAGTCCAGGCAGTTTGGTTAGGGCACTTTTCCTTCAGATTTCTGATTTCATCTATTTCTGTGCTTTTTGTTTGTGCCTGTTACGTAGTACAGGGGATTTTTTAAAGGTTTGTGGAATTTTTATTGTATTAATAGTTTCCCCTGGGGCCTCCCTACTGGCTCAAGGGGTTAAGCACCACACTGTGAAGCAATCTGCAGC